CAGGCAGACTGCGATAGGTGGCCCAGCCAGACGGGCAGCCAGACAGATAGACGTGCAAGCGGCCAGGCAGACAGGCAGGCAGAGAGGCAGACAGAAAGGTGTTGACCTGGCCTTGGCCCACAGACACCCCGACAGGCAGGCATCCAAATGGTCGGCGCAGATGGTCAAGCGTCTACTCCGTGTGAACAATTATCAGCGGATGTTGACCTGGCGCTGACCCGCGGATGCCCCGTGCAGACAATCATCTAATTTGCAGTTGGCATATTCTTTGTTGTTCGTGGTGGCCAGCACAGGTCAAGTGTGTGCTCAAGATAATGCCGTGGTTGAGACACATGGTCGGAGAGCGACTGCAGGATCATCACGCTCCGATGTGCCGATGCACATCAATGAAGCAGATGATCTAGATGTTCTGTACGATCATGACCTCTATGATGATGATGATTCCAGAATCCACAAGTACATTGAAGATTGTAAACAATATGTGTATACCATGGCAAGGGAGATGCATGATATGGAACAGCATAGGCATCAATCGAGTGCTGTGGCGCGGTATGGTGTGGTGGGTAAGGTTCCAAATGATCATGCCTTGAGGGAAGTATTTGGTAGGTTTGTTACGGACAACCAAGGACTTCGTTGGACTCAGGATGAGTTATTGGATATGTTGAAGAAGAAGGAGGTGGAAGTGGATGCAGTTAAGAGTGCGTTGGCCAACATTGAGTTCAACGCAAAGTCAGTGATGGAAAAATTTGTTCAAGAGGAACAAAACGATGAGGTGAGATATTCCTCTATGTCCGATACTGCGCGTGTCAAAGAAGAGTCAAAAGTTAACATGGACATTGAGATGCGGATTCGTTCTCGGCTTAGGTCGAAGATTCGAGATGATTTGATTGATGAGATTGTCAAGTATAACACCCAAGTTCATCCCCACGTGCTGGAAGAGTGCGATGGTTTGCGTCGGCGACTTGAAAAGGCGGAATGTGCAGTGAGGAGATTGTTGTCCTGTCATGGCCTGGCATGAGAAGATCCATCTTTTCGAAATGCAGTCTTCAATTTCCGATCAACTGAAAGTTTGGAGGCTCTTCCGAAAAGCGATCTAATTGCGATGTTACAATCAGTTCGAACTGTTGCTTCTGAGCTGGCTCACAGAAATGCAATGTTGGAGGTGCAAAATGCCATGCAGTTTCCTGTTAGCGACAACCAGATGAGGGCAACAGTGGTCAATCTTGGCCAATTGTATAAGGAAGCACACGAAGAGTTGATGAATGCTGTGTTTTTGGACAAATTTGGTGACTGGTGGGATTGCGACTCCATGATTTATTGGGCTCAACGTCAAAATGAGCAGATGTACCAGCTTAGGAAATTGCTTGGTGACGTTGTGCTAGCTCATTCGCCAAAACGATTTATCGAGGAGTTAAGGAATATGAAGAAGGAGTTGAATGTTCTTGCAAGCATCAATAAAGAACATGACAAAAGACTCAATGAGACTGTGATTGCATTGGTGGAATCTTTAAGTCGCCAATGTCCTAGATGTCGTCGAACATATTGGGCACGATTAGACTTTGCAAGGATAAATGAACTCTCGGTTGTTAAACCGAAATGTGATGGGAGCACAAACATTTATCCTGATGGACATAGTCAGGTCAATGAGGACGATGAATTTGCGATGGAAGAACGGAGGAAGCGACTTCGCGAATTGGCAGAGGAAGATAAACAAGAGTGAAAGAGGAGGGAAGAGAGGAAAGAGCCAAAGGATGTAGGGTCTAGGGATGACAATAGTTGCAAAGGGGGAAAGGAGCTATAAATAGAAGAGAAAAAATTGTTGTTTGTTGTTCTRACTTTAAGCRCATCGTTTGATGTGTTGTTAGATAGGTAGATGAGTGRAGCTTCGTAGACAGGATGATGCAGGAGTGGGAGTGGGTAGATTGAGATGGATAACGAGGAGGTGGAGTGGGATGGTGGGAGGAACGCGTGAATTCAGATTTTTTTTATTCCATTAATGATGATGATACTTGAAAGTCTCTCTCTCTCTCCCTTTCTCTCTCTGTTTCTCTCTTATTTAAGTTGTCTCTTTCTCTGTCTTATTTAAGCCGTTTCTCTCTCTTTCCTTTTTTTTTTTTTTCTTTCGTTTTTTCTTCTTGAGAACTATTCATGGAATGGAAAGAAAATATTGTTGACAAAAAAATAAATAAATCACCTTGGTTATTTATTGCTATGTGATCTCGTGTTGTACGTGTTCATGGTAATGGAGATGATATTAATCCTTAGTTGCATACATTTTTTTAATTCTGTTTGTGAATATTGTAGGGTTTTGTCTGTCCGTTCTTATACTGTTCTACTTATTCTTAAAAAACAACCAGGTGCGTATCTGTTAAAATATACAGATGAGATAATGTTAAAAATTGGTTGAGATGAGTAAGAAGTTAAGAAAAAAAAATGTAGTGTTAAATCATTTTAAATGTTATGTGATATTATAATATGAATTTTATGAATAATTAGAAAGAAAGAGTCGAATAGTAAGATTAGAAAACAACAATAAACTTTGTCCGCCTTCCAATGAACGGTATCGAAGGAAAGCAAAGCATGCTCAAGAATAATCAAGGTACGTATGATTTGTCTATATGGGCCGCTGAAAATACTCAAACACTTATGTGAAGCAAATTAATTGTTATTGGGAGGGTTAGATCACACCATGTAATTCGAATGAATATTGGAGAAGGAACCGATACGATAAGAAGGAATAAAGATGACAATAAATGTAGCCTTTTTCCCAAGACACCCATGCTATCCCGAATGACCTCCTCTCGGCTATACCTATTCCAAAAGGTTCTGTTCTCTACCCCCTTTGCTTCTATTTCATCAAAGTCACCCAAGCAAAAAAGGAGAAGAAAGGTGAGGTCATCAACGGTTTGCCCGACCTCGATCGCTAGGAATGACTCTTCCTGGATCCACGACCTTCGAGGCTGGCTGGGGGGAGGTGCGGTACGCCGCATAGACCCATTTATGGGGGTGGTGCAATGTTGTTGCGGTGGAGCCAACGCCTACTTCTGAGATCTGGGCCTCGTGCTCTGGCGAGGAGAATGGGTACTACAGACTACTTGCTAGCGATCGGAACTCGGAAAGGTCGGCGAAGACATCTTACCTTTTTCAAATCTTTTGCGGACGGATGACTGACTTAGGATACCTAAGGCTGGCCGCAAGTAGGAGTCACCTCGATTATGGTGGATTGGAGCCAAAAGAAGTTCCAATCCCAGTGACAGATTTATCCGAACAGGAAAGTCAGTCCTGCTAGAGAATGACAAAGGGCAAACGTGGATAGACGAGGTACGTATGACTCTATCGCATGGGGCCCTGGAAAGACTAAGGGGCATATATGATCATAAATCGAACATAAGAAACAAATGAGGCATACGAAAATAATAGGAGTTGCGTTAATTAACCTCAATAGGAGTTCAAAGAAGTTCCAGTCCCGGTCAAACATTTACAAGAACATGAAAGTGGACCTATGCATCTATATTTGCACAAATGAATAAATTCCAATGTGAATTAACATTGATTAACCTCGATAGACAAGCTCAAGAAAAGAAAAAAAAAACGAACTGGCTCCTTTTTTTTTATATCGTCAGTGCTTCTCATTTTGGCTGCGTTCTTTGTGTTGCACTATGTCTTCTTTGTTTTTCTTTGTTTTTTATTTTCTACTTTGCATTATATTACTTTTTTTTATATAATTACATCTATATTCTATTTGACGATATATATGTGGATGTTTTGAGGTGTATTCTTTTCGCTCCGACTGCCTATATACATCTTATTTCTCCTATCCACCATGACGTGCCCATGTATATATACGTATGTACATACCCATTAATTTGCCAGAGGACCAAGACCCGCGTGACACTTCGACCAACAGTAATCTATCCACTATTCCAACCTTTTCTTCACCTGCGGATAGGTCCTTGCATGTTCCATGGAAGCGTCGCAAACGTCATCGGCCTTTTGAAAGGGTTGTTAATGATCCTTTGTTGTCCTCACCGATAATATCAGAATGTACTCGGTGTGCTTCCATTGTTCCAGATCAAGTAGGTTTGTCTGTGTTCGAGGGCCCTTCTTCCTCATCCAACCATGGATTGGGATTGCGTATAGGTTCGGATGTTACTCCCAGTTGCCCTACGAGTGAGATGAGGATTCCATCACAACACGAACACCGCAAACGCGGACGACCACCTTCCCAAAGTCGTCGAACCCGGAGGTCTTTATTACAAGCGGTAGGTGTTGTAGGTGAGCCAAGTAGTCGCAGGAGAGATAAACAACCTGTGGTAAGTCAAGATTATACTCTTGATTGTTCTAATGAGACCAATGTAGTGATAGGTCTTTATCTTTTCGACAATCAATTCCATCGATGAATAATTTCACAAGCCCCATGTTTTTCAACAGAATGAGTCGAGGAGATAATAATGTTGGTAGGGATCGGATTAGTTGTCCTAGAAATCTCTCTGTGGCCTTGCAAAGTGAATGTCCACTTGAAATCCGTACGGGTGTTGCAATAAATGCAGATTCCGTTTCGATTGTCGAAAAATCCGTTTTACTCGATAATTTTCCCTCGCACTCGGCACATGTGCACAATTGTTCATCGTCCACAGTGACTGCGCATGTCCCACAAAGATTTGTGGAAAGTGATGTTTATCCTCCGTTGACGGATGTTTATGCAAATGCATCTTCTGCTGCCACGACGCCGCCGAATTCGCCGAACACGTTGATTAGAAAGTTTGTTGGCTTTCATAATCGACGGAAAAAATTATTATTATGGAAACCGATTCGTTCAAGGCGCAACAGACGATACCGTATGTTATTGATTCGACAGCTCCGTGCAAATAAAGTAATGCGTCGTTTAAAACTTGAATCGTTGTCGTCGATGGCTCACCATGTGCCATCGGGCTATGATGCAAGTGCAATAGTTGTTGAAAGTACTGTAGAGGGTGATGAACGAATGGAACAAGTTGATAGAATGAATGTGAATGAACCATGTTCTATGTCGTGTACGATTTCGAAATGAAGGAAAAGTTAGGGAAGACGACCAAAGTATTATGTTAAACGTACTCGTGCATTGAGAGCTGCGCTTAAGAATCATAGGAGGAAAGAAGATGTGCGTGCTCATAAAAACTTTGTACGGGGTGTGAGGCGCAGTTTGTTCTCTGTCAATATTCTTCGAGAGATTCGAGCGAGTGCCTCTGCGCAATCGCGGAGCGTATCTTCTCCTGCGAGACAATCGCAGAGTTGTTCTTCCCGACCGAGGCAGTCCCGAAGTCTGTCATTGAGAGCGAGGCAATCGCAAAATCTGTCCATGAGAAATCGAAATTCAGTGAACAATCGCGAAAATAGTGAGTCGGATATTCGCGAAGAATAAATGAATGATTCGCATGATATTCCGGGTCCTGATCTTAATGCACTCCCATCGGCATCTGTGGCGACAACATATGCGGCGGTTGAGAACACGGTGGCGATTCTTGGGAATGCTAGCACTGTTGAAGCGTTCAGCCTTGACGGTCGATATCCGTGTAACCATTGTGGTGCTAAATTATGGCGTCATGAAAAGAAATGGACAAAGATGTGTTGTCGAAAACGAAACGTTGTCCTTTATGGGAATGGCCTTGCGAAGGTTCCCCGGAGCACGAGACTTTTTCTCTTTGGACGTCTCAAAGTTCGGACGGTCGATTCCTTCAAAATAATGCGAGGATAATTAATTATAGTTTGTCGCTCGCATCCTCGTGGTTGAAGCAACCGAGCGATGGTATTCAAGGATTCCAGGGCCAACTTCGGGCTCAAGGTCCAATCTTTCATCGGGTGAGTGCATTGGCTGTGGGGGAAGGGGAACGTCCTCAGTATGCACAACTATGCTTGCACGATCCTCAACGTTTGGATGATGCGATTGATCAAAGGGTAAATTTCCTTAACTTACCTGCAAGTACATCCAATGCCGAACTTGATCGAACAAAAAGCATATTGAGAAGGTTTCACGAATTGCTACAACGATGTAACAATTACGTGAAGGACTCTATGACGGTTGCAGACCTTCCGCCGGAAGCGTTGAACGGGAGGAAGTTGGTCATAAACCCGGATGCCATGCCTGATGGGGAACATGCAAGGCGTTATAACCATCCTATGGGTTTACATGAGGTGTGTGTTCTGATGGCCGATGAACTAATTCCTCGTGAGCTTGAGATTCGTTTGCGTGCTCCTCTTCCGGGTGAGCGGCAGACGGTTGTGGTTCCGGAATGTTCTCGAGCGCATGACTGCTTAAGGTTTGTTTTACTTTTCCCGGAGGGAATTGATAGTTGGTCGGTTCGACGTGCCTCGGAAGCTGGATGACCGCCAGGACTTAGTGCCAAGGAGTACTATGCTTTTCACCTTCACGAGCGTGATGGTGAAAGACCTTGCCTCCTTTATGCAGCACGTCTCTTCCACGAGTTTTGTTGCATGGCGTACGCTAAAGTTGAGTCCCTCCGCTTAAAATGGGTGAGATTCCACCAGAAAGAATTGCGCTCGGAGTATTATCAGGATTTAAGAGACGCAGTGAATCAAAATCAACATGGTGATGGTGTTGGGACAAAAGTGGTTTTACCATCAACGTTCACTGGGGAACCCTGATAGATGACTGAAAGATATCACGACAGCATGACAATTGTGAGGCGATTCGGAAAACCGGATCTTTTCATCACTATGACGTGCAACACTAATTGGCCGGAGATCAAATAAGCCCTGTTGCCCGGTCAATGTCCTAATGACAGGCCGGATCTTCTGGCGCGAGTGTTCAAAGGTTATCTTGCACAACTAATTGATGAGATAAAGAATAAACGGATCTTTGGTAGGGTGAGTGGAATGTTGTATGTGGTGGAGTTTCAAAAAAGGGGTCTACCACATGCACATATACTGGTTATCCTGTATCCGAATGATAAAATTTGGGACGCGGATGCTGTTAACAATGTGGTGTGTGCCGAGATTTCTCCGGAAGAGGAATTGAGAGAAAGGGTGGCCAAGTTCATGTAGCACGGGATTTGCAGTGCGGAGAAACGCGACGCTTCGTGCATGGAGGACGGAGAATGCACAAAAGGATTTTCGAAAGACTTCATTTCAACAACAACATTCAAAGACGAACAAACGTACCCTTCGTATAGGAGAAGGAAACCGAGTGATGGTGGTTTTACGATTGTTCAAAATTGAATCGTTTACGACAATCGGCGTGTAGTCCCGTATAACCCGTACTTGCTAATGAGGTTTAATTGCCACATAAATGTTGAATATTGTGCTAACATCAAGGTGTGCAAGTACGTGTATAAAAACGTGTACAAAGGGTGTGATCGTGCTGTGGTTTGTAAGCAAGATAATAATGCACCCATCGACGAGGTTAAATTGTATCAAGATATGCGTTTTGTAGGTGCATGCGAAGCATGCTGACGTCTATTTGAGTTCGACGTTGCGGAACAATGGCCTGGGGTCGAAAGATTGCCCGTGCATCTTGAAAACATGCAAAAAGTGCAATTTGAACCTGACACTGAGCATGACGTTGTTTCGCAAGGGCCCCCGAAAACGAAATTGACCGCATGGATGAAACACAACTCTTTGAATGAGCATATTCCTAAAGAGGAGCTTCCTCTGTATGCAGAGATTGTTAATACTCATGTGTGGGATAACAAAAATAAGAAGTGGAACCGAAGAAAGTGTGATCTTCACGGCGGTCCCTTCGAAAAGATATCTCGGTTGCATCACGTGAGGATCACGGAAGGCGAACGATTCTATCTACGCGTGTTGCTAAAGCATGAACATTCTCGTGGGGTGTGCTCTTTTGCTGAAATTCGTACACTGGACGGAGTGGAATACGATTTTTTTTTATCAGTATGTCTTCGATTGGGCCTTTTGCAAACAGACGATGCATACGATCAATGTATAGATACAACCGCTGCACATTACATGCCTGAAGAAGTTCGTAAAATATTCGCTATGCTTCTCGCGTTTGGTCCGGTGAACGATCCGGTCCGTTTCTTCGAACGACATTGGGATAAGATGTCTGACGATTTTCAGTATCGCCACGGCTGTGAAATCGTTCCCCCGAACATTTTGCAATCGTTGGTGTTATTCCATCTTGATCGGATTTTGCAAGAGTATGGAAAAAGCATCCGTCAATTTTGCCTTCATTATCCAACGCCCGATGGGGAAACAATTGCTGAGAACATAACCAGACATTACGAGAAAAGAACGGTGTCCTCGATTCTAAATGACGAGTTGTCGTATGATCCGATTTAAATGCAACGCAGATATGACTCTAATTTTCGACGTCTTCGTCCACATCAACGAGTTTTGGTGGAAAGAGTCGTTCGGGTTGTACAAGAGAAAAGACCGTTGCATGCTTTTGTTGATGCACCTGCTGGAACAGGAAAAACTTTTTGCATTGAAATAATTTTGGCAGGCGTCAGGTCCCGTTCTGACATTGCATTGGCCGTAGTGTCAAGTGGGATAGCGGCGACTCTTTTGACGGGCGGTCGAACGTTTCACTCACGATTTCGCACACCTTTGAAACCTGATAAGACACGTTCCTTTCTGATTCCGAAACAAAGTGATCTTGCAGAGCTTATCCGCCGTGCGGACTTGATTGTTTGAGACGAGGCCCCGATGAGTAACAAGTTTCACTTAGAAGCTCTTGACATTACGCTTCGAGACCTCTGTAATAACGACGAGCCGTTTGGTGGGAATGTTCTACTTCTTGCTGGGGATTTTAGACAGGTTTTGCCCGTTGTGAAACACGGATCCCGAGCGCAACAAATTGATGCGTCCATGAAAATGTCCCCTTTGTGGAAACTTTTTGAGGTTCATCAATTGACGGAAAATATGCGAACCTTAAGTTTGGGGAATGATGTAATGGCACAAATGTATGACCACTTTTTTATGCGAATTAGGAATGTTGACCATCCTCGTGTTGTTGCTAATGAACCTGCTGCGGTCAGATTGCCACGTGAGTTTTGTACAGATAAATCGATTGATGAGTTGATTTCATGGACGTTTGATGATGTGTCGAATCATGTGGGGGATGCGAATTATTTCTTGCCTCGATTAATTCCATGCCCTACTAATGACGATGCCACTTCTGTTAACAACCGTGTTCTTGATGACTATCTTGGAGGGGTGCATGACGTTTTTAGTGTTGATTATCCTGATTCGGATGATATGGGACTCATTATTGAGCGGGAGTTTTTAAACTCTCTCGAGGAATCTGGCCTTCCGCCTCACAAGTTGCGCTTGAAAATTGGTGCACCTGTGATGCTTTTGCGAAATTTGTCACCGAAGCAAGGACTTTGCAACGGTACAAGGCTGATTCTGAAGAAGATCGTTAATGATGATTTGTTGGAAGTTACCATAATGCACACGGGTAAGATAACACTGATCCCCAAGATTGATTTGACAAGCGATGGTGAGAATATGGGGTTCAAATAGTTTAGAAGGTAATTTCCAGTCCGTCTCGCTTTTGCTGTCACGATTAACAAGTCGCAAGGACAAACTGTATCGCGTGTAGGGGTTTGGCTACGCAAACCGGTTTTTGCGCATGACCAACTGTACGTTGCTTTGTCTCGTGTTGGTCATCCCAACAACATCCGTGTTGCATTGCCTGATAAGAATTTTTTTACGAAGAGTATTGTATATCATGAACTTTTAGGGTGAGTGATGTTTTCTTTTTCCTGCGGAGTCGTCACATTCCAAAATAATTTCCGTCATATTCTTTCTTTGCAGGCGACTCCCGAATTCCGCATAAGTATGACACTCGTGCTAAGAGGAGAGCAATGGCAACTAGCAATATCACTGGACAAGATACGAATGTTGGATCAAAAGTTGGAGCCCAACGTTCTGAGAGGTCCAAGAAAAGTGAAAATGATGAAAGGTCGGTGAATCTTGGAAGTGAATGTGCTCGGGACGATCATCGTGCTATTAGTGATGTTGATCGTGGATGTTCCCAAGTGAATACCCTTGATGGTGCTGGAAAGATGGTTGTGGAGGGGGATGGTGATCATTATTGTGGTGATGGGGATGGTTCGTGTAGAGCTCGGTCGGGTAAGCCCTTGAAGCTTACATTTGCTGATGACGAGGATGATGACGTTACGGGTGAGTCAAAAGAAGACTGCGTTCATTCTACATTCAAGAGAAGAAAGAGACGTGGTGCGAAAACTAATGTTATGAGTTCGCCTGATATGCTCGAGGCTACGTTGGCTGATAATCATGTGGCACGACAACCCGTTGTTAATGAAACGGCAACTCAAATTGCAAGAGCACTGTGTGAGTTGCCTGCTGATGCACTTGCATCTCTTCCATTTTGTGCACCGCTTGTTGGACGTGGACGTGTTAATGATTCGTCTTCGCAATCTCAGCGCAGTGGACGCGAAAGACATGTTTGTGGCACATCGCGACTAGAAAATCGTCCCAGCGTTGTTGTGCTGCCTGATAATAACGATGCACCCACAATTCGCACTTCGAATCCCCGCGCTTACCTTGCTAGATGGTTTGACGATGCGAAGAAGGTTGGCATCCAAAATGTTTTGACTGAGGTTCTTTTTGAGATGTTTGTCAAAAATGCCACCATTGTAAAAGATGGGCGAACATGGAAAAAATTCCTGGAATGGAAAAGAAACAAACTCACTAATATGCGGTTGGAACGATGATCTCCTCTTCATTCAGACCCGTTGAATGTTTCGGATTTGGAGGCTTCTTCCATGTTGCAATCGCTTTTGAATGATGAGTTCATCGCTCTGTCTAATGAGGAGATTGCTAGGATGACGTTTCATTTGCCGCATTGTCCGACAGAAGGGACCATTCCCCAAGCCTTTCACAAATATGCACGTGTAGAGCAGCTTCTCAAAAGGATTCCTCCCGTTGTTGCTTCTTCCACTCCTCATTCTGCTCCGGTCCTTAGAGTTCCCCTTCAAGCAGCGTCTCCTCCAAATTTTCAACGTCTTGCGGATTATGCTTCACCCTCCAATATGTCAACCGCGATTGTCAGTCCTTCAGTTGTTGTTTCTGCTTTGCCGGTCGCTCCGCCTACTCCGTCTCCTATGAGTTGTCTTCTGCCCGCTCATACGCCATCAAGAGACCATTTGTATGTCCATACAAGACTCTTGGAACAACCAAGTTCTTCTTATTTTGACATCGCCGTGTACGACTCTTTTCAATCTATTGGTCCCAAAAAGACACTTGCACACCTGTCCTATCTTGACAGTTCTCACAGGGTGCGAGATATTGTGGAAGCAGCAGCGTCGTTAAATACGAGCATGAACACTTGGAGATGAGTGAACGCTGCAATTCACCTCGATTACAATCGGCAAAGACAAGGTCGATTCGGAACTTTTCATGAGTATCGTCACAAAGTGCTGCAACAAGTTTCTGTTCGTGAGGTGCTGCAAGAGTATCGTTCCAGTGAAGGAAGTTGATTGGTCTTATAAGAGAGATAGGGAACAGAGAGTTGTTGATTCGGTGGTTGTCCAAGCGTTACGTTAATGGCAATTTTTTTTATGATCAGCTTCGGTTTTGGTTGAGTAATTGTGCTTGCAAGAAAGATAGGAAGAGAGACATAAATAAATGGGAGGGCGGAGAGAGAGAGAGAGAGAGAGAGAGAGAGAGAGAGAGAGAGACAAAGAGAGACAACAAAATAATTTTAACTTGACATTATTACATTTTTTTACGTTCAAGTCGATTCCATTACACAATCATTGTGCCTTGATCATACTGCAGCCACTTGCTAACTTTAATGGGTCAATAAATAAATGCTCATATTAAACTTATTCTGTTTTTATACTGATGTTGATCTTTTTTTTTTCTTTGCTGTTTTGTTGATTTCTCTCTCTCTGTCTTTGTATGTCTCCATATCTCCCTCTCTCTCTGTGTGTCTCTCTCTCTCTCTCCTCTTTCCCTCCCTCTCTCTCTCTTTCTCTCTCCCTTTCTTTGTCTGTCTATGCGTGTTCCATTTCTTGAATTTGTTAATAGTGGTGAAATGAAATKAAATTTACAGCTTTGTCTGGGCGTAACTTTTTTCTTTTTCTCTTTTGTTTTTTGCGGGCATTGCCCGCACCGCCCGCACCGCGGGCGCTTAGCTAGTTTTATATATTAAATTTTAAATTTCTTTTTTTTGCTTTTTAATATTATTATTAGTAAAAAGGTTTTAAATTTTCTTATATTATTATTTTTATTATTTTTATTATTATTTTTTATAAATTATTATTTTTTATTATATTATTTTATTTAATTATTATTTCTTTATTTATTATTATTTTTTATTTATTTAATTTCTTATTTTTATTTTTTATTTTTTATTTAATGATTTTTTTACTTATATTATTTTTTGAAAAAATATTATATATAATTTAAATTATTTGTTTATTATTTTTTAATTTATTTTCTTATTTTATTATTTTATATATCAAGGTTTATTAATTATTATTTCTTCTCCTAAAAGGAAATGTGTATATGTGTGTGTGTGTGTGTGTGTGTGTGAGAGAGAGAGAGAGAGAGAGAGAGGATATGCTCTATTCATATGAAAGACGAATGTATCTATGGGAGAGAGAAGAGGGGTAAGCATACTAAGCAAGAACTTGAGCCAAATCACATGAATGAACAGTCTGTTGTTGTTTGTTTTTGCTTTTTCTTTGTGCAGGCAGCACCCGCACCGCCGCACTGCAGGCGCTAAGCCAGTTCTAAACTTCTAATGTATAAGCCTGTTTCCAAGTCAGCTTGTCTAACGGTGGGGGGAGAGAGTTTGAAATGCACTGGATGAATGGGTCGGCATGATTCTGTTCTGACTTCCACCGCATATTATCACGTGCTGTTGCAGGTTGATGCTGCAATCAACCATTTCATTGAGGCGGGGAGTAGCGTGAAAGCAATTGAAGCTGCCATTGCATCACGGCAATGGGCAAAGGCAGTGCAGATAGTGGAAGCCCAGGATGCAAAGGTATGCAGTGCAGAGCCGAGTCCTGACCCTCAGCACCCTTGTGAGCAGGGGTCAGTTATTACTCTTGGATCGAGTGGTAGAGCTGGTAAATGTATGGGGAATCTCCAATTTGCTAAATAACTTCATGAGTTACATTCTTGCTACTATGTCAAAGTGTATTCTGGTTCCTAAAGGGGTGCACTGAATGGTTTGTGCCACTTTGTGGGAATTATTGGGCTGATAAATGGTAGCATTCCTCCTCTCTTTTATGGAGAGGACTCTTTTGGTTGGCATGGTGTACTAGGTGGCTCTTCCATTTTGCAAAAGGATTGCACGACACTATGAATCGGCAAAAAATTATGAGGAGGCAGAGACGTTCTTCATCCGTGCAAAACTCCCTGGTGAGGCAGTGGAGATGTACACCAGGGCAAAGCGTTGGGAGGCTGCACTGAAGGTATTGCTTGACACATCAACTCGAACCCCTCTGAATTTCGTGCCATCCCCCTCTCTGTCACCAAATGACCAAGGCACTCTTTCCTTCATGCGCGGTGCAGTGCTGAAGAACAAGGCAACAGGGGCAAAAGAAAGAAAAAACAAGAAAAAAGGGAGCGAGAAAACATCGCTCTGGATTTTCAAAATTTTAAAGAACACAAGTTTGTAAGGGCCTGCCAAACACGGACTGAGACACAGCTGATTTCTGAGTTTTGCCAATGGAATGTATGTCTTGCTGAGTTCCCCGCTTTTTGCTGCGTTTTCTAAGTCTGTGTGTGTGCGTGCTTGCTGGTCTGCGTGCCTGTCAGTTTGAGTGTGTATGTGACCCGCAAGGGTACTTGTTCGTTCGGGAGGGCCGAAGGGCCGGTACTTACCTGTGGCTGTGACATTGAGGGTTGCAGCTGGGATAACACTCAAGTGGTGGGAAAGAGGCCCGTGACACTTCGAAGCAGCAGTTCTAGGCTAGGTCTAGGCGGGTACCAGGTAGCAGGTAGGCCGGTACCACACCAAGTAGTGGTAGATGTGTCGGGTACTCGAGACCGAGCAGAAGAAGACAAAAGTTGGTATTTTTAGAGGCCCAGCAGTTCTAGGTTAGGTCTAGGCGGGTACCAGTCCAAGTAGTCTGAGTCTAGGGCCTGCACGGGCAATACCAGAGTCTGCAATGATGTCTCCCTCCGAAACGGAGAGGTACCGGTTGCTTGGAGGCCACACGGCCTGGAAGTCACCGCCCAAGAGGCAAGCAGGCCTCTCCTCCTCATTCTACGGTGTGCAAGTTTGGCGACCCACTGCTTGGAGCGCTGGCTGGAGCAGCGCTGCTGGGGAGGAAGTAGCGCCCAGCTCCCCACCTTGGCTATGGTGGAGGAGCAAGAGCGGGAGAAGGAGGAAGACGAGGACTAGGAAGCGGGGAGCGCCAGAGGTACTTATCTGGCTATGGTGGATGCCATGTTCATCACCTTGGTGGGCACTGCATCTGGAAGGCCCCAGTTGGGGTAGAGCTACACCAAGAAGCTTCGAGGCAGAGTCAGGCATGGCTGCCTGAGCTAGAGCAGCCGTAGCTGCTTTAAGTTGTCTTTTGCACATGGGGGCAAGGCCCTAGCAGTCCGCCATATCCTCGGCCTTCAGGAAGAGGAAGGAGAAGGGTGGCCATGGCTATGGTGGACCTAATGTTGTACCTGCAGTAGAAGAGGGATTCGTACATTGATTCTGGTTCAGCCATTCAACATTGTTATTATAATTTATTGTTGAATAAGAGGGGAGGAGAAAAGGAGGAGGAGAGTGGTTGGCGAGAAGAAGGGGATTATCATTGCTCTTTGCCGGTGTACATCTTCTTCTTCTTCTTCTTCTTCTTCTTCTTCTTTCCCTTTCTCTCCTCTCAAGTTCATTCATTTCTCTTGCAATTGGACTGCATTGTGCTTTCTCATGAATTTTGTACTTGTAATGACCCGCCATAACACAGACTGAGAACACTGCTGATTTCTGAAGTTCTGCCGATGGAATGGATGCCTTACCAAGATTCCTGCATTCTGCTGTGTTTCCTAAGTCTGTATGTGTGCGTGTCTGTTGACTTGCATGCCTGTCTGAGTGCTTGTCGGCATGAGTGTGTGTGTGACCCGTAAGGGTACTTGCTTGTTTGGCAGGCCCGTAGGGCCGGTACTTACCTGTGGCCATGGCATTGAGGGTTGCAGCAGGGGAAAACACTCGAGTAGGGGAGGCAGAGGCCCGCGGCACCTGGAGCAGCGGAAAAACACTCAAGTAGCAGGTAGGCCGGTACCGCACCCAGTAGCAGTAGATGTGCCGGTACTCGAGCCCGAGCAGAAGAAGACAAAGTTGGCATTTTTAGAGGCCCAGTAGCGGTAGGCTAGGTCTAGGCCGGTACCAGTCCATCCAGTCTGAGTCTAGAGCCTGTACGGAGTGTGCAATGATGTTTCCCTCCGAAAGGGAGGAGGTACCGGTTGCTTGGGAGGCCGAGCGGTCTGGAAGTCACCGCCCAAGAGGCAAGCAGGCCGCTATATCAAGAGGCCGAGGCAAGAGCTCGGCCTCATTCTTCAGTGTGCAAGTTTGGCGACACGCTGCTGGAGCGCTGGCTGTAGTGGCGCTGGGTACTTCAGCGCTGCTGGGAGGAAGAAGCCGGGCGCTTCCACCTTGTCTGTGGTGGAGCTCTACCAGTAGGAGGAGGAGGGAGAAGGGGACCAAGGAGGAGAGTGTCGGGGTACTTACCTAGCTATGGTAGACACCATCTTCATCACCTTGTTAGGCGCTGCATCTGGAAGGCCCCAGTGGGGGTAGTGCCGCACCAAGGAAGCTCAGGGCAGAGTCAGGCATGGCGGTTCAGTGGGCAGCGGCATAGCTGCTTGAAGGAGGCTGAAGCCTCAGTAGTCCGCCATAGCCTCGGCCCGTATGTAGAGGAAGAGGAAGGGTGACCATGGCTATGGTGGACCTTATGTTGTGCCTGCAGTATTTGGACATTGATTATGGTTCAGCCATTCAACATTATTATTGTTATTTCTTGCTTGAATAAGAGGGGAGGAGATAAGGAAGAGGAGATTGGTTGGCGAGGAAGAAGAGCCTTGCCATTGGTCCATGCTGGAGTACATCGTCTTCTTCTTCTTTCTTACTTCTTCTTCTTCTTTCCCTCTCTCTCCTCTCAAGTTCATTCATTTCTTTTTGCAATTGGACGGCATTGTACTTTCTGATGTTTGTATACTTCGAAATTGGCCAGGATCGTAACATACTTCGAAATTGGCCAGGATCGTAACATACTTCGAAATTGGCCAGGATCATAACATTGGTGTCAGAGCGGATTCTACTTGCTGGCGAGAGTTGACTTTGCCACTCCAACCCTAACCTAAGTTGGAGGGCTCCCACTTAGAGTTAGGGCTGGAAGCTGAGGGAAGTGGGACAGCGTGGTAAAGGGAATCTGCCCCCACCTGGTTAGGTCGTGTTGGGTCGACACTGGACCTGACCAGGTTGTGTGAGAGTAAGTTTGGAGTGGCGAGACACTTCGAGAAGACTTCTTGCGACAATTTGGGAGAGGCGACAGTGAGAGGCACTCGCAGCTGGAATCTAACCCAAGGGAGACACTTGGGACTTCAGGGCCTCCCTCAAGTAGGCGAGCTTGAGGGAGGTAGCCATTCTGCATCTACGGACTGCAAGTTGCTACTTTGATCTTCAACATCGGTGGGGGATCCGGCGTTGCACTTTGGTGTTGGAGTCAGACCCTCCTAATAGATAGGACACTTGTTGCATGCTGAGCCTGCACATGGGCCCCATTTGAAGGGCCCGACGGTTGCTGAGGGGCCCCCAGGCCGCGTACTATCCAGCACGCACCCTGAAGGCCCACGGCGGCCCTCCAGGCCCTAGGCAGCACGTAGGTAGGTAGGTTTTTGTTTACTTACCCCTTTTTCTGTGTGTGTGTGCTGTCTTATTTTTGTCTGTTCAGGTGCCGCTTCGGACTTGCAGCCCCAAGGCCGGACCTTGGGACCGGGTACACCGGAGGCAGGCCCGAAACGAGGCCAGGCACATTTTGGCGCCAAACCGGCGTCGTTTCGGTCCTGCAGGACCCAAGACAGCACCTTGGGCCAGGTGCACCGGTAGACGGCCGTTTTTAGGCCAGGCACATTTCTGCGCCACGCTGCAGCAGCAGCAAGGTCTGGACGTCCGGTAGGGACCCAGACCACCTGGGCCGTTTTAGGCCACACAGTACCAGGTAGGCCCAGTGGCCCAGCACTACATATAGCCGGGCAGCAGCTGCGCAACGGACAGTTCGGGTTGCTCACTTCTGAGCGACATGCTGCTGGAGGCTGCGCTGCTGCGCTAGGTAGAGGAGTAGGGAGTAGAACGCAGAGGAGATAGGGAGTGGCGGAGGCCATACCTGCGAGCGGCGAGCTTACCTGCGCCATAGCTGGACGCCACGCGGTACCTGCACACAGCAATGGACGACGTCAGTTCAGTGACAGCTACCTGCAGGTGAGATAGCGAGGAGGGCTTCACCTTCTTCTCTACCTCCTCCATCTCTCTCTCTCTTTCTCTCTCTCTCTCTCTCTCTCTCTCTCTCTCTCTCTCTCTCTCTCTCTCTCTCTCTCCTTCCTCCTTCTTATCTCTTCTTCTTCGAATCTGAGAGTGTGAGAGGTTATCAGTAGGGATTCAGGCTGGGGTTGTAACGGGCGCATTGCCCAGGATCTGATTCGACATTTCTGAGACAGACATTGTTTGGACATTCGGCAAGAGACTATTTTGGACTTCGCCATTGCGATCTTGGTCTACTCTCTCTCCTCCTCCTTCGTCTGTCTCTCCCCCATCTCTCATCCGTGGTTTCGCCCCATGTGTGTGTACGAAGGAGGGACCTTTCCTCCATGATTGCGGTCCCTCCTCTCTCGCCCGTGTGTGATGTATGATGGATGTCGGGTCAGTCCAGGTCAGATCAGACCTTCTCTTCAAATCTTCCGCTGTGCCACTTCGTGCCATCTTGTATGTATCGGAATGTGCATTGCTTGATGATGCTGCGCTGATCTTGCATTGTCCATTTCCGTCCTTTTCATCACATTGCGGATCCTTGGAATACTGCGCATTGCTCCCCTGAGCATGCGGCAGTTTTGGTATCCGAGCTGCAGATGTGAATCAGGACGAACCTGATCTGACGCGCGCACGGGGACCACCCAAGATCGATTGGGTGAGTATCGATTGATCGATCAATCGATCCTGGATCGATTGATTGATTGATTGATTGATTGATTGAGTATTGATTGATTGATTGATTGATTAGGTCATACTAATTAGTCCCCAAATCGCGAAACTTGGACCCAACCGCCGAAATCGAATTTTTTTTGCTGTTTTGGATTCGTTTTCCCGCTATTTCTTTTCTTCAACAATAGCGGAGCATCTGAAGGTTCGTTTTTCTTTTCTTGAAACCCGAAACTTCGTTGCTGGAGATCCGAAATACCGCGATTTCCTATTATTTATTCCGCGATTTTTTTTTGAATCCGACATTTCAAAATTTTTTTCTTGCTGAAATTCGAAATTTCGCGGCAGAGAAGTCCGGAATTTTTTTTTTTCGAAAAGTTTTGATTTTATCCCGCTACAAAAATTCCCGTTATTCCGAAATTTTTCGAAATTCGTTTTGCAATTCCGAAAATCTTTTTTGAACTTTGTTTTTCAATTCGAAAAATCTTTTCTGAAATTCGTTTTTCAATTTCGAGAACTTTTCTGAAATTTCGTTTTTCACTTCTGAAATTCGTTTTTCACCTTCGAAATTATTTCTGAAATTCGTTCTTCATCTTTCTGAAATTCGTTTTTCATTTCCGAAATCATTTCTGGAAATCGTTTTTCATTTCCGAAATTATTTCTGAAATTCGTTTTTCACCTTCTGAAATTCGATTTTCAATTTCGAAAATTATTTCTGAAATTCGTTTTTCAAGTTCCGAAATTATCTCTGAAATTCGTTTTTCAACTCCGAAATTTTCTGGAATTCGTTTTTTTTAATTCCGAAAATTCCCGAAATTCGTCTTTTTTTTCAATTTCGAAATTTTATTCTTTCGGAAATTCTTCGTCATACTTCGGACATTGCTTTCCGGCAAACTCTTCTTACAACGCTTGTTTTTAAAACTGCGTATACTCTCACGTAACATATTCCGATTTTTTTTGGAATTTCTGGGCTTGTGGAATCGTATCTTTTTTCGCAAGTTCAGCGTTTCCGTTATCTCCATTTGACACTTTGATTCATTGGCAGCCTAAATTTCGAAATTTTTTCGTTCAAATTGACTGCTGAGGGGATACTTGGGGGGCCTACCGAGCTTGCAAATTCGATTTTTTTTTCTTTTTTTCGAAATTACTGCAAGTTCCCAATTTTTTTTCTTGATTAGTGGCTCCATATCTGGGCGACCCATTTTGATTGCCCATCCCCCTTCTCTCCACCCCAACCCTTCAATCCTTCTCCGTCCTGCTGTCCTGCCCATTCACCTGCAGTTGCAGGCCAGGTAAATCCTCGCTTCAGCAGGCCACGTCAGGGACCCATCGCGGATGACCATACTTACTCGCTCGCAGACAGCATCGATGGACCAGAAGGCAGGCGAGACTGACGAGGCCTACGAGGCACGGCTGGCGGCCATCCTGGCCGACACCAAGCAATGGGCAGATGCAGCGGCAGCAGCACGGAAGAAGAAAGACGCAGAGGCAAAGAGACTACGTCGTCTGGCTGAAGAACGCGGCAGAAGCACGAGGCAGCAGCAGCCAGGGCCGCTGACGAGGAACGCGTACGGCGACGGGAGATCATATTCAGGGAGGAAAGTGCATTACACGCACAGGCCAAGGATTGGTAGAAGGAGGCCGAGAACGGCGATCCCGTTGACGTCAGGAGCAGAGTATCTCAACTGCTCAACCGTGTCACGGACCTCCTCGCGACTTGCATCGCACAACAGGAGGACATTTACTCCCTCGACCACGCTAATAAGGTGCTGCAACAGTCGTCGGACCGGATGCTCAAGCGCATTCAGCAGCTGGAGCAGCAGGTCGCTAACGCCAATGCCACCGCCGGCCCCTCCGACCTCGCCGACCACGTCAACGTCTTGGAGATAGACGTGGGGACACTCAAGACCGGGGCACAGCAGCTGCAACAGCAAGTTTGCGCAGCAGCCGGCCCTGGCACAACGACACGCGAAAGCATTGTCAAGTTCGATGGGCTCCCGATCTTCTGTGACGCATCGAAGACCAACCCCATACAATGGTGGCGCCAGTTCGAAGTCAAGCTGGACCTCCACCACGTCATCGACACGAACCGGCATGCATACTTGTACTCCCGCTCGGGAGGAGCGTGTCAGTCGTGGTTGGACAACACGCTGTCCACCCACACATGTCCAGTCACCGAATTACACAAGTACATCACCTGGGCGGACCTCACGGCGGCATGGAAGAAGCGTTTCCAAGTAGAACCGCCTGAGCACCTGGCGATGGACAAGCTGCTCACGTTTTCGTAGAACAGCATGCCAAGTGGAGACTGGATATCCGAGTTCCAACGGCTGGCAAGCACGCCCAAGTTGCCAATGAACTTTGACGGCATCAAGCTTTACTTCATCAAGAGGTCGTGCCCAGCGTTGCAGAATGCGTTAACTCACGTCGCCGAGACCCTCACCACAAGTGAGGAACTTTTCAACAAGGCCGCGCAGATCATTGTGACGAACTTGGCAGCCCAGAATGCGGGCCACTCGTCAAATATCAGCATCGGCCGAAAGTGGTCGTGGTCGCAGCGGCAACGACTAGCGACCCTTCTACTTCAAACGAGGCTGCTTCATCTGACGAGGGAGACAGACTCGCAGCTGCCCAGAATGGTGGCCGCCCCGCCAAAGGACGAGGACGCGGCAAGCCGAAGACCAACACCAATACTTCTTCTGGGCCCGGGCAAGCAGCTCCAGCTCAAGGACCTTGGACTGCGTACGGGCTGACAGAGCGCGGGTATCGCATCCGCAGCAAGTACCGCTATTGTTTGTGGTGCAATTGCGCAGCCCATGAGACCGCGAACTGCCCCACAAAAGGCAAGGGCCCCGTTCATTCGGGAAAGTGAGCCCCGCCGAGAATGTTGCGACGACACTCTCGACGCCTACGGAACCGGTTGCCTCTCGGGTAACCTCCCTCGGTTCCGGGGCACATGTGGACGTCGTAAGTCCTCCAACTCTTCATTCTTTCAAGGACTATGCTGCCCGGCTCGTACCTTCGCTGGATTCACGAGCCCAAGGACAGGATGTATGTGCGGTCTCTTCTCCAATCGGAAGCAGCAGCATTGATTCGTCTTCAAGTGGACCTTCACGGGATTCAGCGCGCGTGTTCAACATTGAGGACTTGGACCCGTTGACGCCCGAGGATTTTGCATGGCTTCCTCTCCCTTCCACCGGCTGCTTACCGGAGCCGCAATGGGCAGCTCTTAGCGCTCATTTACATACATACCTATCCTTCTATGCACCACCAACTTTGCCTACGGAGGACGAGGTCGCGGTGGGGGACATCCTTGCGTATGTTAGCAAGGTGGCCCGCGAGTTTCGCACGCAGCGGTATGACGATAACAACGCACCGCTCCTTTATGCCAGCATCCAAATCGGGCAAGTGTCTTGCAGCGCTTTGCTGGATAGCGGCGCGACTCACAATTTCATTAGCCAGTCCTTCATGCAAAGGGCCGGCCTTGGACCACAAGTTCGAAGGAAGGCACACCCTACGTCGATCAAGTTGGCGGACGATAGAACGCAACAGCTCCTTGATCGCTACATCGAAGCCGTCCCGGTTTATTTCGCACCCTATGCATGCGAACCAGTGACGTTCGACGTCTTGGACACGGACTTCAACATCATTTTGGGCATGCCTTGGCTCGCAAGTGCGGATCACACGGTCATTTTCCATCGGCGGACACTCACGGTTCGCAACGCGTTCGGCGCCGAAGTACCATGTATGATTCCTCCTCCGCACCCTTCGATCCGGTGCCAAGTTGTAACAGCCAAATCTTTTCGGGCCACTTGCGCTTACGAGCAGACCGAAGAGATCGGCTTATGTTTTCTTCGAAGCGGTAGCCGACTCCCAACCTACGGACTTGTCTTCAGACCCCCGGGTGGTGCGGTTGCTCGACGAATTTGCCGACGTTTTCGAGTCACCTACCGGCGTGGTGCCGGATCAGCCAATCTCTCACGAGATCATTCTCGATGCCGGTGCCATGCTGCCAAAAGGTTGCATTTACCGCATGAGCGAGGAGGAACTTACAGTACTCCGCGCGCAGCTCGATGACTTGTTGGACAAAGGCTGGATCCGACCTAGTAGCTCACCCTATGGTGCGCCGGTTCTCTTCGTTCGGAAGAAGAACAAGGACCTTCGCCTATGCATCGATTACCTTAAGCTCAATGCGCAAACCGTCAAGCACGCAGGACCTCTTCCTCGTATTGACGACCTTCTGGAGCGCTTGGGTGGCGCAAAATTCTTTTCTAAGCTGGATTTGAAGTCGGGATATCATCAGATCTCGATTCGGCCGCAAGATGGCTACAAGACCACGTTCAAGACACGGTACGGGCACTTCGAGTGGGTTGTTATGCCTTTTGGACTCACCAACGCCCCGGCGACTTTTCAAGCGGCAATGACCAACGAGTTCCGAGCAATGTTGGACCGGTTCGTGCTGGTCTACTTGGACGACATCCTCGTCTATAGCCGGACCTTGGAGGAACATCTTGACCATCTTCGACGAGTGTTGGAGATACTCCGGCGTGCCAAGTTCAAAGCCAACCGCGACAAGTGCGAGTTTGTACGTCAAGAGTTGGAATACTTGGGCCACTTCGTCACTCCACAAGGCATCAGTCCGTTATTGGACAAGATTCAAGCCGTCCAAGATTGGTCGGAGCCGCGGAACGTCACGGATGTCCGATCATTCCTTGGCCTCGCCAGCTACTACCAACGATTCATCAAAGGCTACTCGAAGATCGCGGCTCACTTAACCAAGCTTCAATGCGAGGACCGACCGTTTGACTTCGGGACGGACGCGCGGGAATCATTCTTGGCCCTCAAGGCCGCATTGCTTTCCGCGGAGGTATTGCGGATATTCGACCCGCTATTGCCAACGCACGTCACCACGGACGCATCCGGCTATGGCATTGGTGCCGTCCTCGAGCAACATGACGGCGTGGATTGGCACCCGGTCGAATACTTCAGCAAGAAAGTGTCGGCCGTGCACTCCATCGATGATGCATGCAAGAAGGAACTTCTCGCCTTTGTCCACGCACTCAAGCGGTGGCGGCACTTCCTCCTCGTCCGACGCCAGTTCCGATGGGTAACGGACAACAATCCGTTGGTCTTCTACAAGTCTCAAGACACCGTCAACAGCACCATCGCCCGTTGGATGACCTTCATTGACCAATTCGACTTCTTTCCCGATCACATTCCGGGGAAGTCGAACCGTTTTGCGGATGCCCTTTCGCGGCGTCCGGACCACTGCACCGCGGTCTACTCAACCTTCAAGATCGAGGACGACTTGCGGGACAGCTTCATCCGCGGCTATCAAGCCGACCCCGAGTTTCGCGACAAGTACGCGAATTGTTCCTCTCCTAATCCGGCGCCTTCGCACTATCGGATCCAAGAGGGATACTTGCTTCTTCACTCACGGGGGAAGGATCTTCTTTGTGTGCCACAAGATTCACATTTGCGCACCCGGCTTCTTGGCGAGTTCCACGACGCCCCCGCCACTGGACACTTTGGAGTCAATCGCACGATTGGCCGACTACGCGAGCGCTTTTGNCCACGACGCCCCCGCCACTGGACACTTTGGAGTCAATCGCACGATTGGCCGACTACGCGAGCGCTTTTGGTGGCCCGGCCTCCTCGACGACGTCACGCGCTATTGCGAGTCATGCGAAGTTTGCCGACGTTGCAAACCTCGCAATCATCGTCCTTATGGCGAACTGCGACCATTGCTGGTCCCCTTGCGCCGAAGGGAAGCGATTGCCATGGATATCACCGGGCCGTTCCCCAAGCACAAGACGGGCGTCGATGGGATTCTCACGGTGGTTGACCGCCTCACCAAGTTTGCCATGTTCTTGCCTCGCCGCTATCACGCCAAGGCACCGGAGTTGGCCGAGGTTCTCTACGCCGGTTGGATTCGAACCAAGGGTTACCCCAAGGAGATCGTCTGCGACCGCGACACTCGGTTCATGTCCGATTTTTGGTTGGCGCTCATCAAATGATGGGGCTCATCCCTCAAGCCAAGTTCGGCTCGCCACCCCCAAACCGATGGCCAAACGGAGAGGGCACATCAGACCGCACAGGTCCTCCTTCGAACACTCATCCGTCCCGACCAGAAAGATTGGGTTAAGTGGCTGCCGGATGTCGAGTTGGCATACAACTCGTCCATCCATCCGGCTATCGGGATATCGCCCTTTGAGTTCGAGCATGGCTCGCTGGTCAATTCTCCGGTGGACACAATCCTTCCACGGACGACCGAGAGCGACGACCACCTCCTCTTCATTCGTCGAATGCAAGAGCTTTTTGTCAAGGCACGTGACCAGATGGCAAAGACGCAGCAACGTATGCGCCAACAGGCCAACCGCTAGCGTCTTCCTTGTCCATTCCGCGCCGGCGACCTCGTATGGGTTTCCGCTGCGGAATTCAGCCTCGAACAAGATATCTCTCGCAAGCTCCTTCCGAAATGGATGGGGCCCTGGCCGATCGTGGCACCCACTGGGAACGCACCCGAAGGACCTTCGTTCATCATTCAGGTGCCCGCCCACTTGCCCGTCAAACCGGTCTTTCACTGTTCCAAGTTGGCCCTCTACACGCCAGCAGAACTGGACGACTTTCCCGGGCGATGATCGCAAGACCCACCCTCTATGGATGGTTTCCAAGAGGTTGGTGACATCATTTCCCAGCGACGTTACGGCAACAGGCCGACTGAATTTTTGGTCCACTTCGCATATTGCACCCATAGAGTTGACCGATGGCTGACTCGTGCGGAACTTCAGGCAACAGCGTCCGACGCTCTCGCACGCTACGAACAGAAGTTGAAAGGCAAGCCGGCATCTTCGGCTCCACGACGCACACGCGTCCAAGTACCGTCGTCAGATCGTCAACTTCGCCCCCGACCGGCTTGACTTCATAAGGAGGGGGGGGTGTTGTATGCTGAGCCTGCACACGGGCCCCATTTGAAGGGCCCGACGGTTGCTGAGGGGCCCCCAGGCCGCGTACTATCCAGCACGCACCCTGACGGCCCACGGCGGTCCTCCAGGCCCTAGGCAGCACGTAGGTAGGTAGGTTTTCGTTTACTTGCCCCTTTTTCTGTGTGTGTGTGCTGTCTTATTTTTGTCTGTTCAGGTGCCGCTTCGGACTTGCAGCCCCAAGGCCGGACCTTGGGACCGGGTACACCGGAGCCAGGCCCGCCAGGCGCATTTTGGCGCCAAACCGGCGTCGTTTTGGTCCTGCAGGACCCAAGACAGCACCGTGGGCCAGGTGCACCGGTAGACGGCCGTTTTTAGGCCAGGTGCATTTCTGCGCCACGCTGCAGCAGCAGCAAGGTCTGGATGTCCGGTAGGGACCCAGACCACCTAGGCCGTTTTAGGCCACACAGTACCAGGTAGGCCCAGCGGCCCAGCACTACATATAGCCGGGCGGCAGCTGGGCAACAGACAGTTCGGGTCGCTCACTTCTGAGCGACATGCTGCTGGTTGGAGGCTGCGCTATGCTGCGCTCGGTAGAGGAGTAGGGAGTAGAACGCAGAGGAGATAGGGAGTGGCGGAGGCCCTACTTGCGAGCGGCGAGCTTACCTGCGCCATAGCTGGACGCCACGAGGTACCTGCACACAGCAACGGACGACGTCAGTTTAGTGACAGCTACCTGCAGGTGAGATAGCGAGGAGGGCTTCACCTTCTTCTCTCTCTCTCTCTCTCTCTCTCTCTCTCTCTCTCTCTCTCTCTCTCTCTCT